ACATACTTCTCCTTGTTCAGCGGTCTATGGTTGTTTGGCAACGACACCATTTGCTAAAGGAACTACATTTCTTTGCAGAATACTTGTTTATGTTGATTATTTTAATAATAATTTACAGCTCTTTTGGCGGCACACAGAGAACCAACAGCATATTAAGCAAGTGGCTCAGTGGTGTAAACAGGCCTATTCAGCCTACACCAGTTTAGCTCTGCCCATTCATGCTGGTGTTATTAAGAGTGTGTCAGCCCAGACTGCTTTCTGAATGAGGCATAATACAGGGCACAGAATTAGAGCAGTCATTTACATATACCAGTCTCAGAGGCACAGTAACAAAAATAAAACTGTTTGAGTCTAAGGGATAAAGAGAGGTTGGAAAATGGTCGTGTAAAAATGAATTATGCATATTTTATAACTGGTACATAAAACCACGCAAACATTATAAGACCTCAGGGGGGGAAATTAGAAGGCAAATGTAGGATTTGAGCCCGTTTAATGTTCAAACTCTGAATGAACAAACTTGAATTTCTAGAAGGCCAAAACCTTTTGTCCACAGTCATGACTGTTTTTGGCTCATAAACATTGTAAGTAGGTCTCAGGGAAAAAAATATCCTTATGCAAGTGGATTGCCTTTTATCTAATCTCCTCAAAAATATCTCCTGAAAAATGAATAACCTGTACTTAATTACTGTTTTGAATGGAAATTAAGTAAATGAAGGGTGGTCTTGACTTTTGCAGAGTACTATATATCATGTCCACAGGTTATTGTGTAGGGTAGTCATATCCACACTAGCTTTAGTGTGTGTATGTTGCTGATTTGTGTATATGTCTTGTATCTCTATTGTTGGAAATTGTAAGCTGATCTTGGGTTTGAGACAGACAGTATAATTATTATCATTATTTGTTTCCTTTGTTCATCTGAGAGGGAAGAAAGCGGAAAGCGTAGAAATACATAACATTCAAACATGGCTGGAGCAGAGCAATACAATCACATGCATTCTGTTTCTTACCACATGATTAAAATAATAGTACAACCTTGTAATTCAGAGGATCATATTAAAACATCATATTAGATCATATTAGAACATATTAAAAAAAACGTTTAAAAACAAAAAAGTTTAAAACATTTTTTTGTTTACCACAAGACACAATAGCAGGGATTGTCACAGACAAAACCAGCTTAGACCTGTAGTTCCTACTATGGGCATGGCGCACTCATCCTATGCAGGTTAGTCTCAGTGAGCTAATGGGTTAGCCATGCAAACTTTGCAAAGTATTATTATTTTGAACATAATGTATAAACAAATTCTGAAAAATTGCTTTGTTTGGCTATAAACTTGGTGTAAAGCCATGGTGTAGTTTTTGTTGTTGTTAGCTGTGTAGTCTTTAGCATGCCAACTAGCCAGCTAGCAGAGTAAAGGCATGACAATGTATCAGCAGTCACAGATAAAGATGGAGCAGTTTGCAAAATAAAGCCCAGCAAATCAAACATGCTTTTGAAATGTAAAGCATTTTAAAGTACAACCCCATTTCCATAAAAGTTGGGACGCTGTGCAGAATGTAAATAAAACTCAATGATGTGCAAATGAAGTAAACCATATTTCTAAAGGAAAATACTACAAAGACAACATATCAAATGTTGAAACTTTTTTTGTTTTTTTGAAAAATATATGCCCATTTTGAATTTAATGCCAACAACACATTCCAAAAAAGTTGGGACGGGGGCCTGTTTATCACTGTGTTTCATCACCTCTTCTTTTAACAACACTCTGTAAGTGTTTGGGAACAGAGGAGACACTGCTGTAGTTTTGAAAGTGAAATGTTTTCCCATTCTTGTTTGATGTAGGATTTCAGCTGCCCAACAGTTCAAGGTCTCTTTTGTTGTGTCTTCCCTAACGGCTAAAGACGTCGTCTGGATGGCAGCATATGTTGCCAAAACATGTATATATCGTTCAGCATTAATGGTGCCTTCATAGATGTGCACACCACTGTTGACGTGCACTAATGCCCCCCCATATCATCATGAATACTGGCTTTTAAACTGTGCACTGATAACAAGCTGGGTGGTCTATAGCCCAGAGGATGCAGTGTCCATGGTTTCCAAAAACAATTTAAAATGTTGATTTGTCGGACCACAGGACACTTTTCCACTTCGCCTTAGTCCATTTTAAAGGAGCTCGGGCCCAGAGAAGGCGGCGGGGTTTCTGAATCTTGTTTATATACAGTTCCTTCTTTGTGTTTGAGTTTTAACTTGCATTTGTGAATGCAGTGATGGACTGTTTTCACAGACAGTGGTTTTCAGAAGTGTTCCTGAGCCCATACAATGATTTCCACTGTTTTTAATGCAGTGCTGTCTGAGGGCCCAAAACTTATTGCCAGCAAATACTGGTTTTTGGCCTTGTCCCTTGCATAGAGAGATTTCTCCAGTTTCTCTAAATCTTTTAAAGACATTATGTACCATAAATGATAAAATCCCCAAGTTCTTTGCTATTTTACACTGAGAAACGTTATTCTTGAATTATTACACTGTTTGATCGTGCAGTCTTTCACAGAGTGGTGAACCGCTCCTCATCTTTACTTCTGAAAGACTGAGCCTCTCTGAGATGCTCTTTTATACCCAATCATGTTACTGACCTGTTGCCAATTAACCACCAGGTGTTTTTTTAGCATTACACAAATTTACCAGCCTATTGTTACCCCTGTCCCAACTTTTTTGAAATGTGTTGTTGGCATCAAATTCAAAATGGACATATATTTTTCAAAAAACAACAAAATTTCAACATTTGATATGTTGTCTTTGTACTATTTTCAATGAAATATAGGGTTTAAATGATTTGCGCATCATTGCATTTTGTTTTTATGTACATTTTGCACAGCATCCCAGCATTCCCATTTTGGGAATGGGGTTGTAGTCTACCATAGCTTATAAACCATTATTTTAGGGTTTGAAAAGGGAACTGCGTCAGATTTCTGGGCAAGTTCTGCTGCTGAAGTCGACACTTGATCCCTGTGAGGACCCACCTAACAAACCTCACTCAGCTAAAATGGAACAGCCTTTAAAGGAATAGCAAAAAATCAAATGAACATGGTTTATAACTTACTCCACATGCAGTTGATAAGCCAGGACATTGATTGATATCCGACATGTGCTTCTTTAGTTTACAGTGTTGCTAACAAACACTGGACTCCAACTCATGCCACCAACTCATCTCTGTAAACACCCAAAAAATGTCTCAACCCGCTGAAAAAAAAGCTTCCAGATGTACTGTTTTGTGCAGACAAATCAATGTGGTTAAGAAGATGATATGACTTACTTTAGTCTGTCAGAAACAAAAATAAACTTCTCCGCACAGGCGAATGGTGGGGCAGCCATTGTGATTACCACTTTTACCTCACAACAATATGTGGTTTCTTTCTGTGTAAGACAACTAAATATGGGGCTATGTATATGCATAACACAGACCTTGGGTAAGGTAACTTGGCAGAGAAGCTAAGTGTACTCGGAAAATCAAAACAATGTCAGATTACGATTTTGACGAAGAAGTGCCATGGCTGGATTCTGGACCCACCAGTGACTCACCAGACATACCTGCGACTACACATACGAATTTGGTGGTGTACCTGGGGCAAAGTGATGCCAACCAAGGCTGAGTGTCTCTGCTGTGGGGAATGAGAGCTGTTGATACCAGCACTTAAACAAACTGGCATTGAAGGCGGTAAAAAAGGTGTGACAAAGAAAAAGTAAACAAAGCTTACTTCAAATTCACTTCTCAACCATTGACTTTGAACAACTGCAGATTTTAGAATATCCCTTTTGCAGCATTCCTTGTAATGGTCAGGTGAAAAAATTATCATTGCAGACATTTTGCACAAGAGCCTACGCTTACTGAATTGCCACTGTTGCTAGTTTGTAGTTCGGTCCTGAAAGCCACAGTTTGCATATTTCTGCATCAGGAAATCTTGGTAATTTCTTGTTTACTGTTTACACAAAATGAAACGCAACATCTCATTTTGTAGGTTTAGTTATTCAAGATGCAATTACAGCTACAGTTTACTGTTATGAGGAGGACAACAATCATGACACCTACGTAATGACATTTTGCGGTGCTACAAAGCAAAGGCGGGACATTATACGAATGATAATGTAGTTCCAGTTTTAGCTTATATTTTTTGCTAAATCCTTTTATTACACATTTTTACATAGCTTTCTGATAGATTTTTGAGGCAAATTAAGATTTTAGAATGTATTTACAGAGATGAGATCGGTGACAGTCCATTGTTTGTTAGCAATGTTAACCTAACATCTCCCACTGTAAACTAAAGAAGCATGTCAGACATTAATGTCTAGGCTGATGGACTGAATCTGGGGTAAACGATAAATCGTGTTAATTTTCATTTTTTTTAGGCAAACTATTCCTTTAAGATGGCACCAGAAATTCCCCAAGGGAAAATGGCAAGGCCAAGTCCATGAGGGCACGTTAAAACCGGTATTGAAACGGGAAGGGTGTGTTTCAACCCAGGCTGCTTTTCCAAGAAAGCACAATACAGGCACAGCCTGTAATGACCTCAGAACAGAGGTCACTATTTACATACAACAAGCTCAATAATGAAATATAACCTGTTAATTCTAATGAAAGAGGCTGGAAAACAGTCATGTATGCAATGAGTAACGGCTGATAAAGAAAATTTATAATTGTGTATTTAACACACGTCATACGTGCCGCTCAGGAAGCAACAAAATGCAAGCTATCTGCCCTTTTTTGTATTGAAATACCGAAATACGGCCACTCGTTTCAATCAGCGAACCAACATGGCGGAATTACAGCGACTACAGGTCAAATTTCAAATCTCAACCGTTAACGGACGCGCCTTCCATATATGGTAGCGGGGTGGGCGTGGCGTTTTCGTATTATTATAGCCTGACGCTGGCGCGGCTGTTCATGGGTAATGTAGTCTTTGTCGAGCCTGTCCTTGGACGCTAAAAAGGGAATAATTCCGAGAAGAATGACTACAGATCCCAGCACACAGTAGGAGCCTCTTTGGCAATACAGCTCTGACATTTCGGTACAAGAACAGAGGTGACCCCATCCGACTGGACCACAGTGGGAGAGCTCAAGTCCGAGACGACACCCTTCCATCCTAAACGAAGAAAGGTTTAAAATATGGTGAGAGACGAATAACAGCGTTGTTGGTGGAATACAGGATGATTCGTATGGCTCTGCTCGTTTAACCTAAGACCGTTTGTCCTTTTGAATGGAATGTGGTCATTCAGATATTAATGTTAGATATGCTTCATGTGTTTATTATTGTGAATATGATCACTGTTTCGAGCTTTATCGTTGGCTGGCTAGCTTTAGCAAAAGCTAGTGGACATTTTCTTCCTCTATTTCCGCCTTTTTTGCAGGCAGTGAAAGTGAAAGAGCTCAAGATGCTCGTTTGGTTTCTTCCCTAACGGCTAAAAATGACCCACGACCGCGTTCAGTTTGGCCAGTTAGCGCTGATGTGGCAGCTCAGGGCTGCTGTGTTGCCGTCTTTGGTCGTGAGCTGGAGCCACGAAGCTGAAAGCAGCTTCCTATTTGGCACCTTCTTGTCCGAATTTCCTCGTTCCACCTTAAATGGTGCAGCGGTTGCATTCCGGCGCCTCAAGCTCAGGCGCCAGAATGTAACCGCTGCACCATTTAAGGTGGAACGGGGAAGTTCGAAGAGGAAGCCAACTTTAGCTGCAGCGCAGACATGCAGTGATTGCTCTGCAGTTTCGTCGTTGCACAGTTCGTCACTGGTCGTGTGATCTGATGTTATTGGTTTAAGTAGGTCACTAGTTTTTGTCCCTGTGTCTTGTTTTTTTCCACAGGCCGAGCCCATCCGTGTGCTGGTGACCGGCGCTGCCGGCCAGATTGCCTACTCTCTGCTGTACAGCATCGCCAAAGGAGATGTCTTCGGCAAGGACCAGGTGAGGAGACTAAGAGAGCATGAAGTTTCAGCGTGGAAAAAGATGAACAAAAGATGGTTCTTCAAGGGTTCTTTAGTAAAGAAAATGGTTCTATAAAGAACCTTGAACACTAAAAAACCCTTTACATGTTAAAAGGGTTCTTTGCATCGTAAAGGGTTCTTCAGTTGGATGGAGAGTGTGCTATAGATGGTTCTACATGGGACACTTTTAAGAAGGCTACTATATAGCACCCAAAAAGGTTCTTCTATTGTTACAAGCTTGATATCATAACAATAGAAGGACGCTTTTGGGTGCTATATAGAACCCTTTTCAGATCCAGGTTCTCCATAAAACGATCTACAGCACATTCTGAGGAACCATTTCACCATGCAAAGAACCATTTAAGCATTAAATGATTTTATATAGAACTTATGGTTCTAAATAGAACCATTTTCTTTACTAAAGAACCATTTTTGGTGCTATAAAAAAAAAAACATTTTGAAAAATAGTCTACATTGTTAAAGAGAGTTCATCAAGGGTTCTTTAGTTAAGAAAATGGTGCGATATAGAACCTTTTTTGTAAAGGGTTCTATATAGTACCCAAAAGTGTTCCTCTGTTGTTACAAGCTTGCTATCATAATAATAGAAGAACTCTTTTTGGTGCTATATAGAACCCTTTTCAGATCTACAGCACATTCTAAAGAACCCTTTAATCATGCAAAAAGTTTTTTGAGTGTTCATGGTTCTTTATAGAACCATTGTCTTTACTAAGGAACCATCTTATTTAAGAGTGTAGAGCCATTTGATGCTTAAATGGTTCTTTGAAATGATTGTGACGTGGTTCTTCAGATTGGTGGAGAATGTGTGGTATATGGCTCCATATAGAACTTTTTTGAAAATGGTTCTATATAGCACCAAAAAGGGTTCTGCTGTTTGTAATGATCTCAAGCTTGTTATATTAGAAGAACCCTTTTGTGGGGCTAAAATAGAACCTTTTCCAAAAATATTCAGTATTGAACTGTAGGCAACACATTCGCCATCAATCTGAGGAACCATTTCACCATGCAGAGAACCATTTAAGTATTAAATGATTTTATATAGAACTTATGGTTCTAAATAGAACTGTTTTCTTTACTAAAGAACCATTTTTGGTGCCATATAAAACTATTCTGAAAAATAGTCTACACTCTTAAAGATGGTTCTTCAAGAGTTCTTTAGTAAAGAAAATGGTTCTGCATAGAACCATGAACACTATATTCTTTGCATCGTGAAAGGGTTCTTTATATTGATCGAAAATGTGCTGTAGATGGCTCTATGTAGAACCTTTTTTGAAAAGGGTTCTAGTGTTTCAATGTCAAGCTTGTAACAATAGAAGAACCCTTTATGGTGCTGTATAGAACCCTTTTCAGGGTCTGTCTACAGCACATTCTCCACCTATCTGAAGTACCCAGTTACACTGCGGAGAACGCTTTAATCATGCAAAGGGTTTTGTAAGGATTCATGGTGCTATATAGAACCATTTTCTGTACTAAAGAACCCTCAAAGAACCATCCTTTTTAAAGTGTGCACGTAGAACTGTGTACAGCACGTTCTCCATAAATCTGAAGAATAATTTTACCATGCAGAGAACTATTTAAGCATGAAATAGTTCTAGATAGAACCGTTGCCTTTACTAAAGAACCCTCAAAGAACCATCCTTTTTTAAGTGTGCACGTAGAACTGTATGCGGCACGTTCTCCATAAATCTGAAGAATAATTTTACCATGCAGAGAACTATTTAAGCATGAAATAGTTCTAAATAGAACTGTTGTTTTTACTAAAGAACCCCTGAAGAACCATCTTTTTTTTTAAGTGTGATATTACATGAGAACACCAGATTAAAACCCTCCTTTAACCCAATAATATGCGGCTAATTTTAAGGTTCCTTTGATCCATGTGTTCTCTGAACCTGCCTGAGTGTCGAAGTGGTAAAATATACTGGCTGGAAAGTTTTTGCATTAGACAAATGTTACACGCTCAACCATTCAGAGGTGTGAGATCACTGCCTTTAACAGTACATGGTCAGTTTGGTTTCAGATCAATATGTGAAATGATTCTAATGTGCTGGTAAGGTTACCGAACAACTTCACATGTTCAGAATGACAAATGGGACACTAGGAAGCTGTAAATAGAAAAATTAGGCATTCAAAAGATTGTAAAATGACTCAGACTTATAACACCAAGAGTTGAGCTGTAATATGTCATATTTTAAAAGTGGAGATCAAAACTCGAGACAGAACTTGAATGTAAATCGGTGGTTACAGTATCATTTAGTATGTTTTTCTGCCTCAAAATGCTTGAAATATTACATTAAAAATGAGTACTTTGTAAAGCTGAAATCAACAGTTATTGGGTATAAAATAACAAGAATTGTAAATACGGTAGTCTGCATAATGTAAACAAACAATAAACAATAAAATGTGATTGTAAATAAAAACATGAAATTTGCATGTAATCAAAAAAAAACGTAGCTCAGATGAAGTGGACTATTTTTGGCACAGTTCGAATGTTGTAAGGTGCTGAGTGACATCACTCTTTGAAAAGTTTAGAAATATTAAATTAAGAGATAAAACGGTACAAATGCTGCATTAAGTGATGCAAAACGACACAATCATAGTCCAAAACAAACCCAGACTATTTCTGACTTGACCCTGATAGTTGATGCTGAGTGATGTCACAGGTAGTAAAGTGTTTCATTAAAAGTTATGGTTTGTTTCACAGACAGTGGTTTACTTACATTAAGATCAGCACAAACGAATACAAAAGTATTTATTAGTTTTCTGAACATGCAGGGTGCCGACTATGGGGTTGGTGAATGTGGCGCCTGTGTTTGGTAGCTTTGAGAGATCAGAGTCTCTAAGGAGGTTGTTTTCCTCTCCTCATTTGCCTCAGCCAGTCATCTTGGTGCTTTTGGACATCCCGCCCATGCTGCCCGTCCTGGATGGGGTTGTCATGGAACTGCAGGACTGCGCTCTCCCACTGCTCAGAGGTGAGCGTGATTGCGACATGACGTTGTGGCCTGATGGGTGTTGTGTAAACGAGGCTGGTCTTAGTCAGGTTATGAAATTCTGCTTTTTTTTTTTATTATTGATGTAAATGAGAAATCATAACTCATTTTCCTTATTTGCAAGTAAATTTGCATATTTGGGAGAGAATTATGGGAAGGAACGTTTTCTCTTAGTGGTAGGTGGGGATAGTGTAGGGGTGGGCAGTATGATGATATTTATTCTTATCATGATAAATTTTGCCTCAGAAAACCTAAGTATTGTGAAAATGTCTTGAAGTATCTTGATATTATATTTTTGCCACATTTTTTGTGGCAGTTTTAAAATGTGGCACTACTGGTGCGTTCAGAGGTGTCTGTGTGTCACAATATCAGGATTTGTGAAATAGAACTGGGCAGTTTGACTGGATATTTATTGTTATTGTGGTTAATTATGCCATAGTATGTCACTGTAAGCTCTTCTGAGCATATTGAGGATATTGTCAGCGCTTATAGACGACTGAACAACTACATGTTTCATTGCAAAGAGAGCATAATTAATTCTTTTGATTGTAGTGTTTTTTTTTTCAAGTAGTATCTTGGGTAATTTTTACCAATTATATAATAAAAAAGCTCTTTCTGCAGTCCTCTCAGTGGCCTTTCTGTCAGAATAAAAATCTACTCATCCCATATTTTTATTAATATAATCAAATAAAATAGCTCAATTCACAATGTCATTGAAGTTCAGTTAATTTTTTTTCTAATTTTATTTTAATTTAAAATTATTTAAATTCAAAGGTGAACTGAGGGAGCTCTGATACAGGCTAATATTGCATCTTATGGCTATTGTGAAAAAGGTACCACGTATGTACCATGATATATTTTGGCCATATCACCCGCCTCTAGTTTGAAGCAGTTTTTACATAACATAGATCAGAGGGAGAAGCGAAAAATAACATCGCAGGTGGAAATAAAATCTGCTGTGATTTGTTAGTCTGACAGCAACATTCATTCACAAAAAAATCATTATGTTCATTAATAACCCATAATTTTAGGTCATCCGTGTAACTGTTTAAGGGGCTGAATTGTCTGCCCTTTACGCCTGGTTATTTCTGACGCTGGCATCAGGTCAGCATTTCTTTGTGCTGTTGCAAGTGGTTTATCTTCGTTGTTTGAAGGACTGTAAGTGCTGAGTGATAATTAAGGAGTGAACGACTGGGCTGGAGCCGTCAGCAGAGAAGGTTACTGAACCAGCGCAGGCAGTTTTCTATCTGTAGGTGATAAGGGAGAACAGATCTGAGTCTGGATCAGCTCTTTGTGAGAGGCCTACTTCACCCATATAAACCACCAATGTACAGTCGTATGCCAAAGTTTGAACAACCCTGATCAAATTACGTTTTGTTGAGTGAAAATCAGGAAACTCACTTCAGTACGGCCTTTTTCTGCATGTCGGGGGAAAAAAAACATGAAATATAAAATGTGTTTTAATTTCTGCACAGGGCACATTTACATTTTATTTTTCCAGCATGTTAAATGAAACAAATTAACAGTAATTGTGTATTAAAATGTGCAGAAATGTGTTCTTTTTAGAAAATGTGTAACTTTTTTTCACTTTATTGGTTTCACAAATCATATAATTTGGCTGGGGGTGCCCAAACCTTTGCATACATTGTACAAACCAGTAGAATATGTAAAGTAAACGTTGTAAAAGCCAGTCTATGAACCGGTATATAAATCCCTATTACATCAACACAAGCAGGCAAACTGACAGACAAATCTGTGGCTATGTAATATACGTTGTGTGCAAAGGTTTGGGCACCCCTGGTCAAATTACATGTTTAGTTGATTTTCTAAGTGAAAATAAGTTTTACATCCTCTACAGAGAACACACTTCTGCACATTTTAATACACGTTTACTGTTTATTTCGATATATTTAACAGTATATTCAGGGAAGAAAAAAGCAAACCATAAAATCTGGTCTGTGCAAAAGTTATGGCACATTTTTTGTTATGTTAAAGTCAGCAAATAATTAGAAATGGTGCAGAAAAATGCCATTCATAGGTACTTGTTTTCACTTAGAAAATCAAAATATGTGATTTGTGTTCAGTTTATTTCATAGGACTGTGTTTTATCCATGTGGAAACAGTGTAGTATATTTCAGGGACATCAATTTTTGGGTGACATGATGAGTTAGTAATGCATACCCTGCACATCTTGAACATATTATACTTGAGCACAGCATCCGTACAAGGCATGACTCAGCAGAGCAGAGGATCCCAGCAGACGCCCCTTCACATGCTCTGGCTGCATTGGATAGAGAGCTGTGGGGAGGTAAAGTGGGGGTGGCCAGTTCACTTCTCTGATTGGTCTATTCTGAAGAGCCTGGGTCAGTCGGAGCAGAGATGTGGACTCCACAATATGGAGGTGGAGTTCAAAGGATAAGTGACACTGTAAACGTTGGGCAATGGCTGAAGTCCGTTCTGATAAAGAAGGCTCTTCATTAATGACCATGCAGGACACTAATAGTCAAATCAGCCAGTCTAAGTCTGTCAAAATGTAGAAAGGGCTGTAGAAGACAGCCAAGTCCTTATCGTTTTAGGACACAGTAGAGGACGTTGGCTATTTGTATTATTTTTGCAGAGCCTGTTTCACTGATTTTGTGCACTTCTCTACTGACCGTGTTGCCAGTCTAAGCAATATGAATGACTATCATAAGAATCAGTATTGTTTATTGCTATTGGTCTATTGCATTACTGGTAAGACAGTCAGTTTCCTTAATGCCTAAATATATTCATATCAATTAAAGTCACTATTTTTTGTGTCCTAAGATTAGTTTGACTTATTTTACGCACTTTTCAATTGACTGTATCTTTTGCCTAAGCAAATAATTGAAAGGGGCCAGACAAAATGTTTACAATTAAAAGGATATATCAGATTGCCAAGTCCTTATTATCTCACGGCACAATGGAAACAGTCACTTCAATCAGCTATTTTTATCTACTTTTCAGTGAAGCATGTATTTTAGCACCTACGCTGATCTAGAGTTTAATTGTAACTCTACTTTTAGAGTCAAATGCAGTGTATAAAGGGGATAATACATGTGAATTGTTTTGCCCTCTGAAGGAAAATGACACTCCGCCCTTCTCGGATGTATTTTTGGCTACAAGTGTGCATGAATTATTCATTTTCTGTAGCCGCAGAGACCAGGGAGGAATTTGTTACACCGTCGTTTAAAAGCAAATATGCCAACAGTTCCTGTTCTTAAGTTATGCTACTCATTTTGGGGTAAACACTTCAGTTCTCGTTATCAATTACACATTACTTCACACATTGTTTTTATGGTTGTTACTGAATAATTCATAGCAGTCATTATGCAATATGCCTTAATGATAATTAAAAAAATAATAACTTAAATTAATAGCCAAAAAATGGCTCTGCACTTTAAGGGGTTTAACAGCTATGGCCCAACCGGTGTGAAAATTGTGTGGCTGATGCTGACTTCAAGGAGCTAAAAATTCAGATAGTATTGGCTGCTATATAATCATGTGCAAATAAGGTTATATAGCAGCCAAGTGAAAATAAGTTAAACACTTCTGCACATTTGAATGCACAGTTACTGTTTATTTGCTGAATGTGACACAGGGGAGAAAATAAAATGTGGCCGGTGCAAAACTTATTGCACATTTACCCAATGTGTCAAATTCAGCAAATAAATAGGAATTGTACACTAAAATTAGTAGAAGATGCCAGATTTCAGTGTTTTCTCTGTAAAGGATGTGTTAACTTTTCACTTTTTTCAAATTAACACAGTATGATGTGACTAAGGTGAATGATGTGTTAATTTTTGCATGCGACTGTACTTTTATATTTTAGGTTTCAAGTTTATAGTCCTGTGCTTTACTGAGTTATACTGTTCTCAGTTGTCAGCTGTGAAATACGACTGTTTGTTCTCCACTGTCACACTCAGATAAGCAGAACAAACTTACAGGCTTAAAAAATATAAATCATTGGTTCTTTTTTTAGTCAAAAAAGTTATTTTGTGTTCTGACTTATTATCGGCCTACGTGTGTATATAGTTATATAGATAGATAGACAGATGAATATATAATATATATAGATAGTCAGTCACTGTTGCTATCACTTTGGATTAATAGAGGCACCCCCAACAGGCCACCGCTGCAGTATTTAATCCCAGATGTGAGACACATCTGTTTGTAAGGCATCCATTGAAGAATGCTCATCATAAATTCATGTTTGCAGAGGTGATCCCCACTGATAAAGTGGAGGTGGCCTTCAAGGACCTGGACGCTGCCATCCTGGTGGGCTCCATGCCCAGGAAGGAGGGGATGGAGAGGAAGGACCTGCTGAAGGCCAACGTAGCCATCTTTAAAACACAGGGAGCCGCACTGGACAAGTACGCCAAGAAGACTGTCAAGGTGAGTCTGCACAGGATATTGTTTATCGCGATAGTGACCTTTACAGTACGCACAGAAGGCTGCAACGTCCTCTAACCAATCACATTGTTTTCTGCTGAGTGTGCATGAAATGAGAGAGAGAGAGAGAGAGAGAGAAAGAGAAAGAAAATGTGTTATGTCAAAAATAAGCAGGTGCACTGAAACACTGTTAGATTTTACACTGTGTTATTGTGCACTGCTTTCTGCCTTTATGCTGCTAGTATAATCCACATTCCTTAGAAGCTCAGCTGCAATCTAGAGAAGGATTTTCATCTGTTTTGATCCCCCTCCAGAACTTGATTTGGTTTACGCACTGAAGTCCGTCCTTTTTGACCCAGAAATTAATGTGAAAATAGGTTATGTTGAATTTCCCTGATACATTGTGAATGGAAGAAAAAAATATGGATGTAATATTACAGTTTCAATACACAGTACTGATGTTTAAACAACAAATTATTCAGACTTAACTGTCACAGGTGCCAGTATTGAAATTTACGCTGCACCAGGGAATGTCGGAGGAAAACTATGCAGCCCAACTGTTTAATAAATGTCTGTATAATTTCACTGTTGAGATGTAAATGGAGTCATTCAGAGTGGTTTGATGTTAAATTGTTCATTGTAAATAAACTTACAGGCTGCAGTTTCTTTACAGTGGTGCTGATAGGAACCAGGGGTCACAATGTCCACAACACAGATATAGCCATTTTATTTGCTGTCCAAACCACCAGTGAACCTGCACGAGTCTTCTGAGTGTTTATATGTAGTGTTGATGATGGTGAAACAGTAGTAAAGCTGAAAAAAGAAAAGTTTTCTTTGGGGACTGTTATTTAGTGCCAGTAACTGAGTACCACTTCTCCAGTACTTTGGTAGCAAACGTCACACTGTAAACAACACTATTTGCACTATAACTGGCCAAACTGGTGTTTCATTTGCATATATAAATAACATGAATCAAATAAAGTGCTGCATTGAAAGCAACAGGCGACTGGCTATTTATCGCAATGAGTCATGCATAATATGCAGCAATATTTTGGTTGAAGTGTAGGAGCAGCAAATACAACTCGAGTGACTTTCTTATGTTATTTAATAAAAATCATTTAAAAAAATGCAGATTGATTTGTTTTTGAGCAAAAATGATTCCGATTCCGATCCCTAATTGCAAAACTTAATATTTCAGATAACTTTAAAAATTTCACTACAATCATATAGTGGCTCAAGTACTGTGAATATATTGTATGGTTTGACCTGTAGTGATTCCCACCCCTGCTGATAAAGCAAAACATACTGTTTACCGTCAGTGCAGCATTTCTACTCGAAAGAAATTTGATTTGGAATTGGGTGGAATATTGAACCTTTCTTTTTTTCAGTAATGACCGATTACCGCTTCATTGTTTTAAAAAGTGCAATGGAGCTCAAAAATAGTGAATGTCCTTCTTTTTGACACACCAGTGGAATGCAACCCAAATCTGTTCCTTTTTAGGAAATGTGTTTAGTGTTGTCATTATTTTTGGTTATATAACTCTTATTTTTAGGTCTGTCTGAGCTTTAAAATTGTCCGAAACTGCTACTGTTTGGTTTAATGTAAGTCTGACCTGTTTTCTTTTTTTTTTCCTGTTATTCTCTCAGGTTCTGGTGGTGGGAAACCCGGCCAACACAAACTGTCTGATCGCCTCCAAGTCTGCTCCGTCCATCCCTAAAGAGAACTTCTCCTGCCTGACCCGGCTGGACCACAACAGAGCCCGCTCCCAGGTTTGTTCTGTCAAATAATTAACCTTATTAACCAGTTAATCCAATAATATGTGTCTGCAGAGCCACAGTTTCACGCCAGCAGTTTCAGTCCAGCAGTTTCAAGCCAGTGGCATTCAGTGCTTGCACTTGTTTTGGTTTTTCTTAGCGACTGTTAGGCTAATCAATCAGTTGTTTTATGCGGGTTTCCAATAAATTTGTGATAAATTTTTGTTGGGCACAGAAGCATTTATAGCCTGTTTAATTCTATCAGATAAAGAGATTTTAGAAAGTAGTCATATAAAATGAATTATGAAGGTAAAAGTGTGTTTTTGGTGGGGGGGGGGGTTGTTTTTGTTTTGTACAGCTGCTTATTGACAACACGTGATGTAAAAAAGTGCAACATAAGTAAATCTTGAGTTGAGTTTAATAGAATATGATGCATTTAAACTGAACTGACTGTCAGTACGTCTGTCTGCCTGCAGGTGGCGATCCGTGTTGGCGTGTCCTCTGACAAGGTGAAGAACGTGATCATCTGGGGAAACCACTCATCTACGCAGTACCCGGATGTCCACCACTCCACGGTCGACCTGCACGGCAAGGAGGTGCCGGCCTTCGACGCTGTGAAGGACGACAACTGGCTGAAGGGAGACTTCATCTCAGTGAGTGCTGCTCCAATAACTCGGAGCCTGTTCACACAGATAGTCTGTTTTCCAAAGTCTGCAGCAGAGTTTGGGGTTTTGCTACACTGTTTCTTTCAGGTGGTTCAGTTGGTTTACACTGCAACGGCTACTGTGTGCCAAACTACACGTGTGGTTGTTTGGTAATTGGTCAAAAATGTGGCTGGGGTACAAGCACTCTGCTGCTCTCACATAAGAACCAAACATTTTAACTTTCAGTAGTGTATCACTGTGTGAGATCCAGATCTGTCCCTCACATATTTTGATATAAATGTATTATCCTACTCCTCCTTCACATTAAAATAAAGACACTTAACATGCGTGAATTACAATCCAAGCAGTAAAAACCATCTTTGATTGAATGGTTTGTCGATTTGTATTTGAACCAATCAGGTCACTCATGCCAGGCTAAAAATACATTCCATGCCATCGAAGCATGTGTTGCTTCGATTTTATTGCTCATCTGCTTTTACTGGCAGCAGCTTGTGCTGCAGGAACAATATGAACGTCTATCAAGAGTTCGATGTTAAGACAGGCAGATAGTACAGCGCTGACCTGCTGCTAGAAGAAGAAAGCAGGCTCTGATGTGAAAACAAACTCCCTTGTTTAGTGCTGACCATCATTAAAATGTGTTTCCACCAGCAGCAAACTGACCTGGAAATCGCTTAGGCAGCTCTGTTGTTTCATGCAAACCTAAATACGTGTGGAGTGTTTACATGTTTAAACGAAAGAAAAGGTTTGATTGGTCCGTAACAAACAGGGTAGGAGTGAAAGTGTCCTGAGCGGTCCACACCAAAGCTGCAGCAGCTTTTAGCAGCCTTAAGCAAGTGTGGTGATGATGTAGGCATTCAGTTTACATGATCATTAGACAAAAACTGTCACTTCATTCATCGTTCCAGCTGCTGCCATCGGGCAGGAGATTTAAGGTCCCACTAGCCAGAAAGAATGGGCCGAAAAAATCATTTGTACCCTCTGCTGTGGCCATTCTGAATAAGGATAAAATAAATAGCCCCCTACATAGTCCATGTGCATGGTTGGTGTAAGTGTTTTAAGTATTTGTCTATGTACTTATGTGGCAGATTAACAAAGACAAATTTCAGTTTCATGCTAATTTAATGGACAATAGTTTTTTATCTTTTTATCTTATGATGGTAATAGTGTGGTATAAGCCTGCATTGCTTGTTAGCTCCATTAGCCCTGTAGCTCCAGTACAAAACTAAAGAGGAAAATTCAGACACAACACATGTTGGTGATCAGCATTTGGAGTAAAGTGGAAATTTGTATAAAATACAAACATTTCTTCAAAGTATTGCTTAAACCCAACACTGTTGTTCATGTCCACATTCCCTGCCAGCTGTAATTCGGAGATGCCTGGTAAGAACAGCAAATGCCGTAAAAAGAATGAGTAAGTGTTACATTAGTTTCGATGAGCTTTGATGCTCCGTTTGACCAACTCACACCCTCCCCTCTCTCTGTCTCTCTCAGACGGTGCAGCAGCGTGGGGCTGCTGTGATCAAAGCCAGGAAGTTGTCCAGTGCCATGTCCGCCGCCAAGGCCATCTGTGACCACATGCGGGACATTTGGTTCGGGACCCCTGATGTAGGTCTGGGCTTTGGACAGAAGCCTATTGCATTCACTCCACTGTAGTATTCAGAGGTTTAACAGCAATTCAGAATGTCCTGGTGTTTTGGAGGTTTGAGGCAAAGAAGCACTGATTTGGATGGATGTTCTGATTTAGTTTATCCAGGTGTGACTCGGTCAGATTACGTTGTTTTGTTGAATTACTATTATTATTATTATTATTTTTTTATTATTATTATTTTTATTTTTTCAAGTGAAAGTAAATTAACACATCCTCTACAGAGAAGACACTTCTGCACATTTTCGCTCTAGAGGATGTGTTGACTTACTTTCTCTTAAAAAAAATTAACAAAGCATGTAATTTGACCAGAGGTGTTGACCTACGTTTGCATACGACTGTACATACATACATATATATATATATACATACATACATGCATCTCTCTCTCTCTCTCTCTCTCTCTCTCTCTCTCTCTCTCTCTCTCTCTCTCTCTCTCTCTCTCTCTCTCTCTCTCCCATAGAATGAGTTTGTGTCCATGGGTGTCTACTCCACTGGGAATTCCTACGGCGTTCCTGATGACCTCATGTACTCATTCCCTGTCGCGATCAAGGTTGGAACTCATCCATTATTCATCACTAATTAAATAGCTATTCAATCATTAATGACAGTTCTAATCCTCATCTCATCATTAAAAGCCAGTTAGAGTGCTAGCACACACAATTACAAAGGCACTGGTCCATTATAAAGAAATCAGTGATAAGAAAATCTATTTTAAATTTCTGGAAAAAGGCTAAAAATATTCAGTATGCTGTTCTCTGCATCATTATCTGTTGGAGGTATAAAAATGCGCTGATAACGTGTGTCTGATAGGCGAAACGCCAGAATCAATTATAATGGCGCAACCTTCTAATCATTAGCTCTGTCATCAGAGCATGGCATGTTCAGTCCCCAGTGATGCCATAGCCATGCGTGACCAAGCCTGTTGAGCTTGTATAATGACGTTGTGTCAGCGGCAGTTTTCTAAAGAATCGTAATAGAGCGAGTCGTTGTGAAGTCAGACTTGCACCTTTAGTAGTTATATAAGACAAATTACATGATTTTAAAGGGCCTGTATCATGAAAAAAAAACTATTGTCTTTGCTTTTCTATTAATAAAGCAGTTTGATGTAGTATGTGAACACTAATAATGTCCACAGTCCATTTGTAAAAAAACTAAGGTGCTTCAACCTGTTTTGAAATCGTTTTGTGATTTCACGAAAAAAAACAACACATTTACATATACCCACCTATTTAGCCTACAGATGTGTAGCTCCGCCTCTTCACGGAAGTTATAAGAAGTGTTTTAGCCTGAACTGCTTTTTGAATGAGGCTCAAAATAGGACAGCCAATCAGAGCAGAGCTCATTTACATATATCAGCCTTAAAGGCACAGTTACAAAACAGCCTGTTTAATAAGGGATAAACAGAGGTTGTAGAAATGAGTTATGACTGTTATTTGTACATAAACCTACACAAATAACATACAAGAAAATAAAGGCTGTGGGTCCTTTAACATCTTACTGCTCTGTGTCTTACAGAACAAGTCCTGGAAGGTGGTGGACGGTCTGCCGATTAACGACTTCTCTCGTGGCAAAATGGACGCCACGGCGGCGGAGCTGATCGAGGAGAGAGACACGGCGCTGTCCTTCCTCGGAGTGTGACTAGACGTCGACACGGCAACGGGGCAGCACCAAGACCCTTCTAAACCCCCACACTCACAACTGTAAAACTCTGACCAACTCCAGCGCTGCCCGTAAGAGTGAGAGAGGGAGAGTGTCTCTAAACGTGTGTGGGTGTGTGTGTGTGTGTGTGCGCATCATTTCACAAGGATCTGTATTATAGCAGCGAATCCGCTGGGTCTCACAGGACAACACCTGGAGGAGAACCTCTTCAGGAACAGGAACGCACATTGTTGTCCTGAGCAATGTAACAATACTTGTCTATCAATAAAAGAAAAGACTTATAATGTTGTTGTTGTTGTTTTTTTTTGTTTAATCATGAAAATGTAAAAACACCATTACCGATTCCACAGGGTCTTACCTTTCAGCACAAGCGGACCAAAATCAAAACAATGAGGGCAATAGCAACTCAGGTATAAAATCTGAAGAGTTTTAACAATAAATAAAGTATAAAGATTAAATCTGAATTATATAAAAAAGGCATTTCTTGCTTATCAATATGACTGGAGTGTCTGTTTATTCTACAGTTTAAAAGGAGGATCATCCATTTCACATTATTAATAGTCTTTTTTATTAATAGTTTTTTTTTTTTTAACTGACCTTGATTCTTGCTAGCTGATGCTCTGTCTTCCTGTGTATCAAAACAGAAGGTTTTACTTCACATGTAAGAAGTAAATTTCGGCGTGTAACAATTTAATCTTCCCTAGTAAGAAATGTATTCTAACGCCATTAACATTGAAATATAATTAGAATTTCAAAACGTGAAAATAACTGAAGTGGCTTATGTTACACTTCAATTTATACTAGTAAATAGTTCTTTCCCATGGAAGTGAATTGGGAAAATCAATGTATTTTTACTACAGGGTTCTTCAGTAAAGGTAACGGCTATATAAAGAACCACCACGACTAAATGAAGCATTTGAGAGTTAAGTTCTCTGTGATGGAAGACCTGTTTTATATGATTATTGAAAGAATATGTTTTTTACATTTAAATAGTTCTATATACCACTAGGATTCTGCTGTTGTTGCATGCCATAGAACCTTTAGCCTATTTGGTATGCCAAAAATGTTTTTACTAGCACCAACAGCGCCCCCGCCCTTTGTTCAGATGGAATTCCTGGGGCCGTATTACAAAAAATTATCTCATCTTTTTGTCTTAACTTAAGATCTGACAGGTCAAGATAAGATTTTTCACAAATTCGTATTACAGGAGCAAATCCTATCTTAATGATTATCTCTTATCTTAAAGAATCTTTTCTTATCTCAGGTTAGGAAATCTTAACTTACTCGAAGTCCACAATCAACTATTATCGTGTCTGTTGCCTAGCAACCGACCACAGGCGCACAGCTGAAACGTAAACACATAAACAAGTTAGTTAAGACAGCTAACATTAGCTGCCCTTACTTACGGAGCCCCGCTGGTGACATCCTGTATAAATAAAAATAATGCGTGGCCACAACTTAGTAAAGCGTGGGAACGAGATTCTAATGCGTGGCCACAACTTAGCAAGCCGTGATCTTGTTCCCACGCTTTACTAAGTCATGGCCACGACTTAATCATCTCATTCCCACGCCTTACTAAGTCGTGGCCACGCATTAGGATCTCGTTCCCAGGCGTTAATAAGGCGTGGCCACACATTATTTGTATTTATACAGGATGTCACCAGCGGGGCTCCGCACTTACTGGTGTAAAGAAAGTCAAATGAAACTAAAGCGCGATAAACTGAGTTAAGAATACTGTTTCAGCTGTTTACCAGAGTCGCCGCTCCACGGTTTCAGTCTCAGTTTCATTTCCCAGACGCTTTTAGCCGAGCGCGCTAACGATACTCCTCCTGATAAACAGACACACGTTCAGCTCTGTCTCCTCATTATTCACCACCAGCACTGTAATATTGTATCTGACGAGCTTTAATCAACATTAACACACAACGGTAATAAGAGGGGGCGGTGGAGATCGAGTCTGCAGCGTCCGGGGCTTTAAACGCTGTTAGAACAAAACCCTCACAAGTCAAAGCACTACGGAGCACCGCTGGTGACATTGTGTATAAATAAAAAAAATGCGTGGCCACGACTTAGTAAGGCATGGGAACGAGATGATTAAGTCGTGGCCATGACTTAGTAAAGCGTGGGAATGAGATGCTAATGCGTGGCCACGACTTAATCATCTCATTCCCACGCCTTACTAAGTCGTGGCCACGCATTAGGATCTCGTTTCCACGCGTTAATAAGGCGTGGCCACGCATTATTTGTATTTATACAGGATGTCACCAGCGGGGCTCCGTACGCCGTTTTCAGTGTAGATAAATGAAGCGTCGTTATGCTGGTTATAGTGAACTGTGCTGCCTCTCGCTGCATTAAACTATAGAAACACGGTTAAAACAGAAGTTAAGCCGCTCTGGTGTTTATATTAAAGTTAAGAAAATGTTTAGGATATTTCGGCAACTTAGGATGTTTCTGTAAACCGTTTTCTTATCTGGAAATAAGATCAGATTATAGACTTAAGAACTGTTGTCCTGTAACGGCTTCTGTCCTAACTGAAGTTGCCATGACAACAGAGCAGCTCCCAGACTCAGGTATTTTCTGTAATGCGGGCCCTGATGTCAACAACACTTGCGTTACTCTCTGCGGCCTGAAGGTGGCGACATTGCAGTATATTTCGGCCTCTTTCCCGACGCCGCGTCTGATTGGTCAACAGGGGCGTTTTTCTGGCTTCTGATTGGTCAGCGCTGACAGAGCGTTACATTGTGCGACGCGTCCAGGGGGCTGGCCGTGACATTCAGGCGCTGTTGGACTGCAGTAAGTTGTCGCATGAGTCTCTGACCCCAAAAAGCGGGTGTGTATGTGTTTGTCCACTGTTTAGAAGGGTGCCGGGATGATATGCCTGCCTTTCTGAGCGTGTTTGTCTCCCCAAATCCCCTCTGCCGTCCAGCTTTCCGCTTGTTTTTGGTTCGCTTGAGTGGCCAAAGCCCCTTTGCCCTTGGAGCTCTTATGTAAGGTGAACGTTCATGTGAACCGTGGAGGTGACCGAGATGGGTGGCTTGCAAAGCTTCTGGCTGCTTCTGCACTGCCGTGTCTGTAGTAGTAGTACTTCGGTAACCCCGAACTGTAATGATGGATCACTAGAGCAAACACCAAACACAGACTTGGCCTCTTGTTGGAACTTTCCGGTCCACCTTAAATTAGTGCGGCCGTAACGTTCTGGCACTGACGCTCGCACGGACGCCACAGTGCAACTGCTGCACCATTTAAGGTGGAACGTGAAAATTCGAATAGGAAGCAAATTTCAGCCTTGCAAACACAAATAAAACACGACTACAGGGCATTTCGCACTTGAATAAGGAAGTTCACCTTTTACTACACATTATTCCATCAGCTCTCATTAAAAATGAGGCTTGCAAACTCAAAATTTCAGTGGCTTTACCCTTTTTTGGTGAAGATAAACTGCTTACCAGACGAGCTTTAGCTATGGCTGCACTCTTAAAAAGGCTCTTTAGTAAAGGGAATGGTTCTGTTTAGACCCATGAGTGCTGTATAGAGCCATAAATAGTTCTATACATGGTGAAATGGTTCTTCAGATTGAAGGAGAGTGTGTTGTATGTGGTTCTATATAACGTAGCTCATGTTTCAGTGACTCCCATCTAGCAGCTAACCCACGCTAGACATGGCTACACTCTTAAAAAAGATGGTTCTTCAGAAAAGGGAATGGTTCTATTTGGAACCATGAGTTTTATATATATAACCTTTTAGAAAATGGTTCTATGTAGCACCAAAAAGGGTTCCGCTATTGCTAGGATGTCAAGCTTGGAACAGTAGCAAAACCCTTTTTGGTGCTATATAGAGCTCATGGTTCCATTCCCTTTACTGAAGAACCCTAGATTAATCATCTTTTTTAAAAGTGTAGCCATCTCTAGTGTGGGTCAGGTGCTAGATAGAGTCCTTGAAGGATTAGCTGGACTCAAAATCCCGTCACTGAATGTCAGTAAAACAAAAGAAGCACTACAGAAATTATTGTATGGCTGGAAATAGCTGCTGCGTCTCCTGTTACACGACACTGGGAGCTGGCTATCCTGGCTGTATACTAGCTTAGGCCTTCAAAGCACAACACGGCAGCACTGAAATGAAAGTAGGAGCACCACGTGAGCGTGTGTGTTGTGTATTTGGCTCTTCCTGGGGACTAAATGTCCCCAGGATGACAGAAAACATGACAAGTAAGGCACGTAGGCTGGTAAAGAGGCCAATGATAAGATGCTGGTCCCCGAGGATAAAGTTAGGTGTAGCATTAAGAGCGGCATTTAGCTGAAGTCAGTACAGAGTGACATGCGAATGCACCACAAAGGCAGGAATACTTAGTACTGTGTGAATGTCAGTGTTTATCTAGCCTGTCTACAGCTGACTAGGGTGACACATTAACCCCTTCCTAGCATCTTGGTCAACTTTTTCTTGTCATATCTCTTACAAGAAGAGCTGTAGTTATAAGAACATACTTCTATAATGTTTTTGCATTCTGTAATATTCCTATAGGACTGTAGTTTTGTAGTAATCTGTAATGTTTTTATAGGATCCTGTTGTAAATTATAGAAATTGTTCAGATTTCCTGTACAATTCTTATAGCAGTCGTGTACAAACTCCCTGTAGGGTTACTGAACAACTTTTTTAAGCAGGCATGTCCAAATCTGGCCCACTTCTAACTAACTACACTCTCTGAGCCTTTGTTCTGTGACTAGAGCTGCTAATTAATTCACTTGTTTATTATTTATAAAACTCATTTTAAAGAAAATAGTTTGCCTAAATTATTTAAAGATGCTATTTTGTTCAGTAAGTATTAATAGTTAAATTTGTTTGTGGGTTTGATAATCAATATATTTTAAGTATATATCAGTATATTTTGACAAATCTGGCCCCAATATGTGTTTATTTAAAAAAGGGTTTCGAAATCGCTCCAAAATGCATTATAGACAACTTTCAGGATGATGTATGTTTTTGGGTGGGCACTTTACACATACGAGATAAATCAAAGCTATATTATGATTAATACTTCTAAAACATTTACATTGTATGTCAGCTGTTGTTCTTTTGAGAAACTTGTTATATCCAAAATTGTTAGAAACAGGTATACAACATTTTGGAATTAAATTCTGGATGGATGGATGGCTGGATGGATGGATAGACAGATAGATAGATAGATAGATAGATAGATAGATAGATAGATATTACGAGAAGGTATTATTTTTGTACTGTATTATGAATGAGTTTCCTGGTTTGTATGCATATATGATGCAACTTAAAGTGATACAAAGCTTATTTTACACACACACACACATATCGCTGTTGTCAGAAGAAAACCTCGTATCTCCAAAATGGTAACTTTACAGGAGAGGGAAAAAACCTACTTTACTTTTAATGTTTTTGGATTTTTCATTTTGGGTCGTTTCTTTTGGTCCACTCATCAAGAAATTTACACACAATGTAAAGAGTAACAGGCATTTTCAAATTGTCAAAAACTGAAAAACCTTAAGTGATAGAAAGCTTAGTTTATACATATACACACATATTGAAAACCTCCATTTTTGATGTTTTTCAGTTTTTGACATAGTTTGAAAATACCAGTTGACCCAAAATTACTTGGAAAAAAGACTGGTTCCATTGACTTACATTAAAAGTAAAGTTTTTTCCTTCTCCTGTAAAGTTACCATTTTGGAGATGCGAGGTTTTGTTCCGACAAAGCGATATTTACATATATATATATATATATATATATATATATACATATATATATATACATATATACGTATGTATGTATGTATGTATATAATATATACAATATGTAGTTTATACATACACAAACTTCAGACCTCCCTGCTGAAGTGGAGCAGCAGCGTGTCTCTGCTGAGAGAGTAGTGAGGACCCTCAGTGCTCAGAGAGCTGCCCCTCACTGTGTTTGTCGCTGATCCTCGTTTCCAGCTTCTGTCGCACTCAGAGAGTCAGAGCGTCTTTCAGTGGAGGAGGAGCGGGGTGGGGGGGGTGTCGAGCGCTGTGGCGCGCGTGCACGGAGCGCGAGCCCCCCCGTTAAAACAGCACGGCTTTAACAGGAAAAGTGCGCAGATCCGTTTAGTGAATCCGGCGCTGCTGAGCTCGTTTAAAGAGCTGAACTCTCCCGTCGTGACTCGGACACACAGCCTCGACCGCGCGCTGACTCCGACCCGGACTCCCCTCGGTCTCATCACAGCGTTCTGACTCGCACAGCTCCGAGGCTCCGATCAGCATGTTGGTCGCCGGTGAGTCTGAGTGAACCTGTCTGAGCTGCTGCAGGACAAACTCGGGGTCAGATCGTGTAGATTGGATGAGTTTAACTCTGAGTGCTTTTTACTTTACCTGCCGTGACTTTGTTTCTGAGTTCGTAGTTCTCAGCCAATAAACCCACAGAAGGAGACGTGACGTAAACATGATGTAGAGCTCAAACTTCATGATGCGGCTTTTTAAAATGTCTTTACCTGAAAATATGAACTTACATCATCTAGAAGATGAAGAACATTTCAATCCTTTATTTCGTGTTTGGTTTCAGCGCCGCTTGTTTTGCTGCATCTCGTGGCTTCCACCGTCTGATCTCGCGCATGCGCAGACTGAGATATCCGAAAGAAATCAGAGTAAGAGCTCACATGCACTGAGAAATCTGATTACTGAGCTAAAATCCAGCTCTCTTCATCGGATTTCTGAATCTGATTTCTAGATCGGAGTATGGTGTTCACATGACCGTTTGAATAATCGGATAACTGCAGAAATCTGATTATGATCAGATTATGGAGTGCATGTTTACACACTCGTTGTCACTGTCCAAAGAAAAAACAATGAGTGCATTTACATGCACTTAATAATCTGATAACGGCAGAAAATCAGATTTTGTCAGTAATCCAATCAACACGTTTACATGCATTTGAGTAATCAGATAATGGGGAAACTCTTGGGTCTACATGAGTCAGGCAGTAATCAGATTTCTGCTTTGCAACCAACCAATAAACTCACAGAAGAAGACGAGACGGAAACGTAGCGTAAAACTCAAACTTAATGCTGCGGCTTTTTTTAAACATTGCGCGACTTTAGTTGAAAATGTGAACAAACATTAAAAGTATATGTAAATCCTTTATTTTGTGTTTGGTTTCAGCGTTGCTCCTAAAGTGTTTTGTTGCCATCTCGCGGCAACGCTGCTGGTACCACCGTCTGTTCTCGCGCATGCGCAGACTGAGAAATCCGAAAGAAATCAGAGTAAGAGTTCACATGCACTGAGAAATCTGATTACTGAGCTAAAATCCAGCTCTCTTTATCGGATTTCTTAATCTGATTTCTAGATCAGAGTATGGCATTTACATGACTATTTGAATAATCAGACAACTGCAGAAGTCTGATTGTGATCGGATTATGGAGTGAATGTATACGCACTCAGTATCTCCAAAATAGTAACTTTACAGGAGAGTGCAAAGACACTCTTACTTTTCAGTGTAAATCAGTGTAAAGAGATTTTACTCCAAGCGATTTTAGAGCATTTCTATTGGTGTGTCATGAATTTTTTACACACCGTGAAGGACAACTGGAGTGTTGAAATGATGTAGAAAACTAAAAATAAGACAAAAGTAGAGGTATATGGTTTTCTTTGGACGGTGGTGATATGCAGAACGTTATACTGATGGATTGCATGTAATGACATAACGAATTGTTTGATATTGTACATTAGGCTGAGGAATTCCATGCCATTTTTAGGGATGCACTGATATGGGAATTGTGGGCCGATGCCGATACATAAACATTTATGAAATGCAGAAATTAGGACTGCGTCACCCTGGATTAGGATTAGGGAGACACGTTTATTTCTCTTGGCTGTATAATGAGTAAAGGGCAGGTGTTTTAGCACAGTAGCCCAGCATAAATGCATCATCAAATACTGGTTTAAAATACTGGCCAAATCTGAACATCTGTCAGATGCTGTTATATGTTTTAAAGCATTTATCGGCTGATGCCGATATAATTATCATGTCATCGTGAATCCCAGCACATCCTCTAGAGAGAACACACTTCTGCACGTTTTAGTGCGAAGTTACTGCTTATGTGTTGAATTTAACAAATGGAGCACATTCTGTATTGGTCCTTTGGTATCTGGTATCTGTTGATCCATTCATCGTGAAATTTTAACACAAGGCAAAAGGTGACCGAACTTTTCAAGTTGCGCAACAAAAAAAAGAAAGGCAAGAAAAATACAGGTTCTTGCAAGACAGCAACAACAAGTTTACCAGCAAACAAATAGAAAATGTGTTTTTACTTAGAAAAGCAACAAAACGTCATTTGACCAGGGGCGCACAAACTTTCACATACAACTGTGTTTCAGTAATGATAATTGAATGGCAGTCACTCATCTAGCTTTGTACTGTCCTGTGTCCGTGACGGCCTGGTTGAGAGAGGAACAGAAGCAACAGTGCAGAAGCTCCTGCACTGTTAGAAATAAAGGTTCTGTGGAGGTGCATCTTTTGTTATTCAAGGTACAAACAGTGTAAATGTTCCCTCAAAGGTACAACAGTGGTTTAAGGTCCAACTGTGAACCTTAAATAAGTGTTTCCAGGTGAAAAGTTTGTATTTGTACCTTTTCATTACCGAATGTTTTAAAACAGAACAATAAAGTAAAAAGCCTGGAGACGAGACGGGGTGTGTGGAGTCAGTTCGACTTAGACAATATCATTTCAGTGGATTATGGTACAGTTATGTTTCCTGACTAAAGGTACTGAGATGTACCCTTGAGGGTCCCACCCCAGTGACAGTTTACTACCTTTTTCTGAGTGGAATCTGAATGAAACATTTTGATTGTATTTTTTAAGTAAAATAATAATTGTAATTTTGTAAATTAAATTTCTTTCCTTCCTAGCTGCTCATGTAAATTGAAGGGGAGCGGGGAATTTGTACCCCATCAGAAATCACTGCCGTAGACTGAATTCCAGTGTAGGGTAGTGATAACGATTAACATAATATGGTTGATATTCCAAATGAAAAGGGGGGGCAATCTTGATTTTAGCTGAGCGTGGAGTAGATATGGAAATGATACAGAAAAATAAAAAGCATCATGTTTTTGAGACCAGAAAACGAATATTTAAAGGAAATTAAGCAAATCCTGTCTGTTTTTTTGTAGGTATGGAAATGGCGAATTTACATATATATTGCTGTTGTCTGAACATTTATATTATATTTATGTATTTTCATTTTTGTCATTTTGCGGTTTTTGAGAAGTTGAAAGCGCCTGATGTCCTGTGTATTGTGTGTAAATTTCATGATGAATGGACCAAAAGAAATGACCCAAAATTACTTGGAAAAAAGTCTGGTTCCATTGACTTACATTAAAAGTAAAGTATGTTTTTTTCCTTCTCCTGTAAAGTTACCATTTTGGAGATATGAGGTTTTGTTCCGACAGCGGTGATATGCATGTTGGATTTTGTAGCACTTAAGTTTTTCTCTTTCTTCTCTCTGTTCTGTAGAGTTGAATCGAGGTGGTCTTCACGCCGGCATGACTGAGTTTCAGGAGAAACTGAGGCAGCAGCATGAGAACTCCATGCACCAAGAGCTGGAGAAGCTCCTCTCCACCACCAAGGGAGTGGAGGCTGAGGTAAGAGAGAGTGGACGAGGCCTTACAGAGCTGTTTAGGATAGATAGCATAGAGATTGGCTATGATAAGTAGCCAGTTTGAAGCTTCTAAATAAGAATGACCCGCAATTTTCACCACTAACTGTTGGCAGATTTCTCCAGTGGGGCTTAAACTACCCATTATTTCTATAATCTATAACTGTATTGCACTTTCTAAATAAAACAGTATAAGTCTTATCACCCCCTACACTTCCTGTAGTGTATTACAATCTGTCATGATAACAATGTGGATCATATGAAGGTTCTAGAGCACTTTCTAAATAGAACAATAGCAGCCATATCACCCCCTACACTTCCTGTAGTGTATTACAATCTGTCAGAATGACCATGTGGATCTTATGAACATTATAAAGCACTTTCTAAATAAAACAATTGAAGCTTTATTGGCCCCTATGTTTTCTGTGGTGCACTACAAACTGCTTGACTTACTGTGGGGGGTCATATGAATATTATAGGGTATTATAGAGCGCATTTGTTTATAAGGAATGTTTCAGTGCATTCACTTTTTTATGATTGATGCTGTCAATAACTAACTTTGTCGACTAATTGTTGAGGCCTTATTGGCCAAGACATGCATGTATATTTGTATGCATTTGTCTTGGTGAATTTGTGCTTATCATTTTTAGATTAGATTAGATGAGATTAGATTCAACTTAATTGCCATTTTGCAGAGTACAGGTACAGAGCCAATGAAATACAGTTAGCATCCAACCAGAAGAGTAAAATCCAGTATTATTTAAAGTATAAATATAAAGTCTAAATATAAAGTGCAGGAAAGTAACCATGGTAAGCGATGCTGTGGTTTATCAACCTTCCCTATAGTTCACAACACTGCCCACTGCTCAAAGATTCATCTCCGCTGTTGGCAACATAGAGTCCACTAATGAAGTACACTGGGCACCAGGGTGCAAAGAAAGCCTTAAATTACATTTTGGCCTAGAACATTAGGCTGCTGTAGTGGATCAAGGATCAGCTCCCCCTTCTCTGTGTAATCATATTAATAAGGACATCAAAGACAAAAACTGGTCCTGTATCAGAATATGAGTCAGAAAAAAAGACACTGGCATTATTAGAGAAAAGGACAGGAAAGGAACTGAGGAAGGAAGTCAGAAACTCGTGGTTTGTTCAGTAAGTACACAAGAGAAACTCGGGAAGGTGCCAAGCTTTAATCACACAGACAAAACTGATTCTCTTTGTTTTTTCCTAAATATCTGATCCCTGTGTGTCCTCATCCTGGAAAGTAAATCTGAAGCAGTTCCCCATTTCATCCATATCCAGCACCAGTCAAAATGAACAGGACAAGGCAAATCTAATCCTGCTTACCATTAGGGCTGCAACTAATGATTATTTTCATTGTCAATTAATCTGTTGATTATTTTCTCAATTAATCGATTAGTTGTTTGGTCTATAAAATGTCAGAAAATGGTGAAAAATGTCAATCAGTGTTTTCCAAAGCCCAAGGAGGCGTCCTCAAATGTCTACACCCCAAAGGTATTCAGTTTGGTGTCACAGAGGAGTAAAGAAACCACAAAATAATCAGATTTAAGAAGCAGGAATCTGAGAATTTTTACTATTATTTCTTTAAAAAAATCACTCAAACCGATTAATCGATGACCAAAATAGTTGCAGATTAATTTAATAGTCGACAACTAATCGATTAATCAGTTAATTCTTTGCAGCTCTGCTTGCTATTAGGGCTGGGCAATATGACAATATGTTTCTGTTATCGTGATAAATGACATCATAGTGTGCTCTTTTCAGTATATCATGGGTATCGTCAGTATTTCTGGAGCACAGCTTCATTCTAGACCGCTGCTTTGTTCTAGAACTACTTTATGTTACAGCACTGCTTTATTCTAGAACACTTTCATTTTAGAACCCTGCTTTGTTCTAGAACGCTGAACAGCTGCATGCATCATAAAGGCAAATTTAAACTATAGAAAGGTTGTGAACAACAACAACCAGTGTACAGTAAATACATCTACAATTAATAAGTTAAATCTTGAATTAAAAAGGTCCTTTATTAATAGGTTTTCATAACCATTTTTGACATGGCGCTGCTATTTTGCCTATGCATTTTGTTCACAGACTGCAGGAAACATGTTAAGCATTATTACACTATCTTCAAATATTTTTATGCTGTATTTTACCTGTTTCACCCCCTTTTAATTGCTATACGACGTTGCCTTTACTAGTGTTTGTTTAACAGACTATGATTCTTGGTTAAACGAATGCTACACTTTCAAAACTGAAGTCTAATTTCACTGATAGTGATTAAGACTAGAGATGTACCGATACCACTTTTCACTTCTGATACTGATACCAATAACTGATTCTTTAGTATTGGCTGATAGTGAGTACTGATACCTCATCCTTTGGTATTGGCTGATACAGAGTACCGATACTGATACCTGATCCTTTAGTACTGATACCAATGCCTGATCCTTTGGATTGGCTGATAGCGAGTACTGATACCTGATCCTTTAGTATTGGCTGATACCGAATACCGTTGTCGATACCTGATCCTTTAGCGTTGGCCGATACCGAGTACCGATATCGATATCTGATCCTTTAGCATTGGTCGATACCGAGTACCGATACCTGATCCTTTAGCATTGGTCGATACCGAGTACCGATACCTGATCCTTTAGTATTGGCTGATACTGAGTACCGATACCGATACTAACTCTGTCTAACCTAACTCACCCATAACTCCGTATATTTATACAATTACATTTAAAAATGTTTTATTTTGGTAAAATCTATGTTCTGTGTCACAGATGGCTAGATGGCATTTACTTGCTTAATTCAACTACTTGTTTTTATTTATGTTTTTAGTTTATTCATGTTTATTTAGTATTTGCTAATCTATAATTAGTAATAAGAACCGTGTTTAACACCTCAAGTAAATGTAAAATATCTTTATTGTGCAAAACAGTTAAAAACAGAGCTGAACAGTGAACAGATAAACGTGTGGTGTTTAGACCTCAGCACACAGCAGCTTCTCTGGCTCAAAAACGGAGCTGAATGTTGTTTCACATCCAGATTTGTCAAGTCATTTGTCTCATACGTGTTCACTGCATCTCTGAGCATCAGTTCAGTAAATATCACCATCCTTCACACTGTCAGTATTAGTTTAAGTGCCAGCATTAGGGCCAATACACATATAGTATCAGGATCGGTGTAACACTAAGACATTGCAAGGAGCTGTTAGTACAGTAGTATAGTGCAAGTTATTGCACAGTAAATAATCCCTGTTGGCTTTCATTCATTTCTTAGCAGGATAGCGGTTTTTTGGTGGTTACATTTCTTTAATGGACTAAACAGAGGCTTCTGTAGTTTGAACTGAGTGGGTCTTTATTTGACCATTTTAGATGATCCATGTGGGCGACCGTACATGCTTTTCAATCAGGCTGCTTCATTCTAACACGGCATTTTAGCAAGAGCTCCTCTGGTAGCAGCAAGAATCGTAATTATAGCATGTTGCGTTTCCCCAGAGGTAATGATAGCTTAATTACAGCCAGTCCATCTTATAATGCAAGTCTAGAACCATTATCAGGGAGGCTGAAGGTGAAAGACATAATTATGCGAACATGCCGTTGAACATCACCATATGGGCACTCATTACAGAGCCTGAGTTCATTATGCTTCAGTTGAGTTCTTCGTAAATGAAGTGAGTGTATTTAACAGGCCTTTAAGCTTGCGGCAGTCAGATAAATATGAGCATGCAGTGTAGTTTAACTTAAAACGCCCCTAGTATGAAAAGCTGAAGTTTGCTTGCTTTGTTGAAGTAAGAGTTTGGTGTACGGTTTAACTGTGTTGAAGTTTTGAAACGTGCCTCTACATATTTGGAAACAATGCTGTAAAAGGGGCCCATTTTGAATGCATATACGTGTGATGTCACAACTATGAACACATTACAAATAAACACTTATTCAGCCTACACTAGTTTAGCCCCACCCATTTTCATCGAAGTGATTTAGTATGTTGTTCCTGCACATAGTCTGTAGCAGAGTTATTAGAGTGGAAGATGTGGGAAAACTATTAAACGTTGTGCTGTTCCTTTCTGTCAGGAAGCAGCTCAGTCACTGCAGCCTTCCAAACATCCACACGTCCCAAAGGAGTGGCTGAAATGTATTTTTTTCTGGGAATTTGAGTCTGAACTTATCAGTTTATTCTATACATTTTAGCTCAGACTGCTTTTTGAACGGATAACAATACAAGACAGCCAGTAAGAAGAGAGGTTATTTACATACATCAGTTTTAAAGACACAGTAACAGCTTGTTTAATTATAAGGGATAAAGAGAGGTTTAGGTTAGAATTTAGGATAGAAAATGCAAGAAAAATGGAGAATGTGTACTTTAATTATACAGCATTACCTGAAAGGTTCCCAGAGCTTAACAACAATTGCTAAGAAGCAAAAATGATTGTTTGTGTTTGTCTGTGTGTTGTTTCCCTCAGAACTCCAGGAAAGATTTTGAAGGATTTAAGCAGCTGTTCCATAGGTTCCTGCAGGTGAAGGGGCCATCAGTGGACTGGGCCAAAATCAACAGACCTCCTGAGGATTCGGTGAGATACAGAACTACAGAAAAACATTTGCCTCACACTGCACAATTAGTGTTATTTGGTAAGTAGTGCAACTAATAGTAGTTAGACAAACAGTACATTTCATAGCAAACCATTAGACATATATGGCTCATTCTGCAAAACTGGTTCAAAGTCAGAGTTGAAAAACACATTCCTGCTCTAAAATGCAGGGGTGGGGCTAAAATAAGGCTCTGCCAATGGCCTGAAACTCTTTATTTGAAATTTAAATTCATTATAAATCTAAATACTTTTTCACTTTAAAATAAAAAAAACTTTTTTACTCAATTAATCGATTAGTTGTTTGTTCTATAAATGTCAAAAAATGGTGATAAATGTCGATCAGTGTTTTCCAAAGCCCAAGATGACGTCCTCAACTGTCTTTTTTTTCGTCCACACCCTAAGGATATTCAGTTTGTCTGTCACAGAGGAGTAAAGAAACCACAAAATATTGAAATTTAAGAAGCAGGAATCAGAGAAATTTTACTGTTATTTCTTGAAACAATTACTCAAACCGGGACTAAAATAAGGCTCCGCCTGTGGACCTCTTTAGTTGAAGATTAAATTCATTATATATCTAAATACTTTAACTTCACTTTAAAATAAAATAAAAAAATATATTTTTAAAACAACATTGAAATAAAAACATTGAATAAAAAATAGTACTGTTTTTACAATTAATGCCAATAGACCGATAGACCATTACACTTCAGTGGAACCGAAGGGCTGAGCCCAAACCCTGAAAAACAGCCCCAGACCATTATCCCACCACCACCAAACTTTACTGCTGTCACTGTGCATTCCTGTAGGTAGTGTTCCTCCAGCATCCTCCAAACCCAGATTCGTCCACCTCACTGCCAGACAGTGAAGCGTGATTCATCACTCCAGATTACATGATTCAACTGCCCTAGAGTCCAGTGACAGTGTACTTTACATCACTCTAGCATGGTGCTGTTCTTGTGCTGATGTTGCCTCCGCTAGGCGGTTTGGATCTCTGTAGTGAGTGATGCAACAGAGGATAGGTGATCTTTACGTGCTGCGCACTTCAGCACTTAGCACTTACAGTTGACAGGGGCAGATCCAGCAGGGCAGAAATTTCACAAACTGGCTTGTGGCAGTCGCTTTTAAAGTCAATGAGCCCGTCAGGACAACCCATTCTACTGATCATGCTTGTCTATGGGGATTCCATGGATATATGCTTGATTTTAACCTGTTCAACTCCTTGGGACCACTGGTGGTTCCAAAACGCACTTCATCATATTCTTCATAACTTTCATATTTCATAAGCTACATTCAGAAGGTGGGGGTCATATGAGAGCTGTAATTGTCTTCTTTCCAGTCAAATAGATGGGTGATGTAATTTTAAACCCTTATAATAAAAGAAGCTGAACTCACAGTTTTTTTTTCTACTGAAAGTCGACCCATTTTTCCACCAATCTGGGCTATAAACTATAAACAGGTGGTGTCTCTTCAGTGATCTGCTCTGTAAAAATTACTTTTATAAAATAATACAAAGAGGGTCTGAGATTTTTGGCTTTCAGCAGTAAATTGTAAGCATATAGCAATATGTGTGATCATAAAACACATGTTCAGTTAATTTGAGGGGAGCTTTTACAAAAAATAAATATATAAAATAAAAATGTACATTTATTTCATGCAGTTACTGAATAATTTGCCTTATGATTTGGTCATGTAAATTCAGACGGACAAACCAAAATATACCTTGGTCAATAAGAGGTTAAACACTTATTAGCAGTGGGTGTGGCTGAAACACCAGAACTCAATAATTAGGTTGTCTTGCCGCTCTAACGTGCTACTTTCCTGCACCACCAGCAGACCGTGAGAGTGTGAACGAAGAGCTGCGAATACTGAGAGGCTGCACCACACTTAAAGATCGTGGATGCTCTTAATCGATATCTGCGGCTCTTTTTCTTAATAACCCATTTGAACAGGCAGTAAAAGCAAAATTAGCCTACAAGTTTCTGAGCAAAAAACAACGAGCATGTTTATTTTTTGATAAAATAGTTTACCACGGCTTCTTTGTGGTGCTACCACATAACCTACCGTGCTAAATTGCTCATTGCTAAGATAATAAAGCCTACCAATGAAGACATCCTTTAGGTTACAGTTTATAGAGTTAAATTAGTTTGGTAGCATATTACTAGGCTATTAAAAACAATAATAGGCTTCGTCTTTTTGTTTTTATTATCTTTGATGTAACAACAGTATTTAGATCATTTAAACCCTCGTTCCTGTTTCGTGAGAGGTGTTCTGGGTGTGGCTGCAGCACGGCTTTATCAGTTTAATAAGTGCGACCCTGTTTTAGGCAGAAAAAAAGTTGTGCTTGTGCTGCTACAGAATATTCCGAAGCCTGATAACATAAAACGGACTACACATTAAAATAAATCAAAGATTACAAAACAAATATGAGCACTGTTGTGCATCTTAAAGCTGCGGACGGCACAATTTCTGACATTTAAATTGTCCAACTAGATTGCCCGTTACGACAGATTAAATCTATCAGTGATTCGGGATGGCGGCACGGTGGCGCAGTGGGTAGCGCTGTCGCCTCACAGCAAGAAGGGCCTGGGTTCGATTCCCGGCCGGGCGACTAGGGTCCTTTCTGTGTGGAGTTTGCATGTTCTCCCCGTGTCTGCGTGGGTTTTCTCCGGGTACTCCGGTTTCCTCCCACAGTCCAAAGACATGCAGTCAGGCTGATTGGAAATGCTGAATTGCCCCTAGGTGTGAATGTGTGTGTGATTGTATATGTATGTCTGCCCTGCGATGGACTGGCGACCTGTCCAGGGTGTATCCTGCCTTCCGCCCAATGACGGCTGGGATAGGCTCCAGCACCCCACCGCGACCCAGAAGGATAAGCGGTTTAGATGATGTATGTATGTAGTGATTCGGGATTCTATCGTCAGTTGACTCAAGCCTATTAAGAGGGTCTGCTGTGGATTGAATGAAAGCTAGAGTGAGGGGGAGGAGCTGGTTCTTTGGGATGTAGAGAGAGAGAGTGCGATCACATGTGTGTGAAGGGGACTGAAGATAACAAAAGAGCTTAGGAGTCTTTCTAGAGGCCATGATAGGGGAGCTTTGAACCGCTGAAGGCTCTGTGTGTATGTGTTTGTTTTTTAAGTTCAGTAGTTCCTGACTTTGTAGTAAAACCAGAGAAAATCTAAAGACTAACCTACAAAATCAACAACAAACTAATCCTGAAAGTTCCTCGTTTCATTTTTTAAAGCTGAAAGCGCAAAAACATCTTTTTTATTCCTGAGGTTAAGATCAAGATTAAACTTTTAGGAAAGAAAATTCTTACTATGATTACTTACAGATACTTATATATTACTGTTAATGTCATATCTCCAAAAGGGTAGCTTTACAGGAGAAGGAAAAACCTACTTTGATTTTAATGTAAGTCAATGGAACCAGACTTTTTAACAAGCCATTTTGGGCTGTTTCGTTTAGTCCATTCATCATGAAATTTACACACAATGTAAAGGACATCAGGCGTTTTCAAATCATGCCAAAACTGAAATGAAACTATATATGGGACATGTTGTTATAGTTATTATTATTATTATTATTATTATTATTACAATACACATGGGCAGCCTCTCTCCCTTCATTTAATTTTCCTTCAGAAAGACCATTAAAATATTCATTTGTCAATGTCAGGGGAAAAAAAAACAGAAAACATTTAATATTAACAGGAATTACACAGAAGCCTCAGCAAGTAAATATAATTTTGGTATTTATTGTGACAATCTTTCACCTTTATTACAGCTTCCATTCTTTTCAGGAGACTCACTTTCAGTTTTTCGAGGAAATCTCCAGGGATATTTTTCACACCTCCAAAGTCCACTCAAAGGGTGGTCTCTGAAAGTACTGTATACATTTTATTTATTATTATTATTAATATCATTATTACTACAACATAGATGCTTACATATAAATAATACATATGACACATGTTATTACACATAAATACTTAAATATATAAGTATTCTGCAAAAGTCAGAGACCACCTTTTATTTATTTAATTTCCAGTCAAATTGGCCATTAACAACCACCTGGAAGAGCTGGTAGACACCAAAACTGTCCCCATCAGATAAACAGCACTTAAAGCTTTCATCTCTGAGAGAGAGGAGAAAATCAAGATCCACTCTGGATTCAGATCTGAAAACATCCACAGGAGTTTCTGTCCATCCTTCCACTGTGAGACACTCAGCACTATGAGTCTGAAAGGATGTGTAGCTGTTAAGAAGCTCTTACTGAGAAAAGGAGACACATCAAACAAAGAAGCTGAACAATGGACTGACCACCCCAGAGTCCAGACCTCAATATCACTGAATGTGTTTGGGATTATTTGGATCATGAGAAGCAGAAAATACATCCATCTGAACTTCGAATCTGTGGAAAAACTGAAAGCAGGTCTCCCGACAAACCTCTTTCAGTGTTGTTGGTGTCTTCACAGATATGTTACCCACTGATACACTCCATATGACAGACTCTGGCTTTTGAACTTTATGCCGGTAACAGTCTGAATGGCCCTTTTCTGCTTTGGCCTGGAGAATCTGACATCCATTATTTCCGTAAAACAACTGTCCCAGCTTTCTTGGGAATGGTTTATATACCAAAACCATCAGAAATCGAGTTATAGCTTGACCCTGCTAACTACTCTGAGACCCCACGTCCTGACATTGTATGAAAACAAGCCTCTGCCTGTGTGGTAATAGTGAGAGGCCATAGGCTGCTGAGGAAACCAAGTGGAACATGAGCTCTGTGTGTGTTTTGATGTGTGTGCGCTCGTGTGTGTGTCCAAGGTTGTATGTGCGGTCTGTCACCTCTGTGACATTTCGATCCCGCTGATCTTCCACAAATACACTCTCTCATACAGAAGGCTGGACTATGAATAGACTGACCCCTCCAGCATTTGAGGAGAGAGAGAGAGAGGAAGGTATAAAAAAAGAAAACCAGGGCTT